GTTACTGGGACTTCGAGAAGCCCATTTTTCCGGCTCCCCATACCATTGAGACATCTTCTCCAGCCATGGGCCAGGCTACACTGAGCGACAGGGACACTGAGCTGTAGAGAGACTGTGGCTCATCCCCTGCCACAGGCCTCTGAATTCTCAGACTTCAGCATCTCCTGAAGGGGTTCACACCATGAACCCCTTCCTCTTCCTCAACCGAAGCTCAGAAGCACAGCCCCAGGTGTACGTGTTCTCTAGGACCTGGGAAGACTGAATTACCCAAGCCCAGAGACAACTGCAGGTTGTTGGCTGACTATCAGGGAGGTAGAGCAGCAGAGAGATTGTCAATCGCTTCCTCCTGCTTGCCTTTGAATACTCAGAATTAACTTGAAGAACTTAGGAAGAAACATATAACTCACCTGATAACTAGGAAGCATCGCAGAGGCACAAGAAATACGAGAAACCAAGAAAATAATAATGACAAATGAAATTAAATAATTATAAAAAGATCTATCAAAATGACTAAATATAGCAATTTTTTTTTTTTGGAGAGGTTTTCGCTAAAGGGCACGTGCTCGCCAGACAGAGAGAGATACAGAGACAGAAAGCCAGAAATCACCCCCCGGGGGATGGTCACGCCACAATCCCTTCTCCTCCATTCTCCTCTTGGGATCTTGGGTACACACGCACACGCGCCCGACGTGAGTTTTAAGCCACCGGATCTGGGACGCGAACCGCAGTCAACTACGTGGGAGTCCAGCGACATAGCCATTACGCTAACTGCTGGTTCCCTATATAAATATAGCAATTGTTGATGAGATGTGGAAAAAAGGGAAGCCTAATATACTGTTGGTGGGAAAGTAAATATGTAAATTAGTACAGATATTATGGAAAACAGTATGAAGCCTCTTGATCAAAAAATAAAAAAAGAGTAAGACATACAAATGGTCAAGCATATGAAAAACTGCTCAATTGTCAGGGAAATGGAAGTGAAAACCACAATGAGATATTGAGCTATCATCTCATCCCAGTTAGAAAGGCTGTTACCAAAAAGAACCTAAGTCACAAATGCTAGCGACGATGTGGAAAAAGGGAAACTTTTTTACACTGTTGAAAATTAATACAGCCATTGTGCAAAACAGTTAGAAAGTTCCTCCAAAACCTAAGAATTGAACGGCTGTATGACACAGCTATCCCACTATCTGGCACATTCAAAAACTGGAAATCAGGGAACCAGCAGTTAGCATAATGGTTATGTCGCTGGACTCCCACGTAGTCGACCGCAGTTTGCGTCCCGGGCCCGGTGGCTTAGAACTCACGCTGGGCACGTGTACGTGCGTGCCCAAGATCCCGAGAGGAGAATGGAGGAGAAGGGATTGCGGCGTGACCATCCCCTCTGGGGGGTGATTTCTCGCTTTCTGTCTCTCTGTCTCTCTCTGTCTGTCTGGCAAGCGCACGCGCCCTATAGCAAAAACCTCTCAAAAAAAAAAAATGGCGAACCAGCAGTTAGCATAATGGCTATGTCGCTAGACTCCCACGTAGTCGACCGCGGTTCATGTCCCGGACCCGGTGGCTTAAAACTCACGCTGGGCGCGTGTGCGTGCATGCCCAAGATCCCGAGAGGAGAATGGAGGAGAAGGGATTGCAGCGTGACCATCCCCCCTGGGGGGTGATTTCTCGCTTTCTGTCTCTATGTCTCTCTCTGTCTGGTGAGCGCAAGCGCCGTATAGTGAAAAACCTCTCCAAAAAAAAAAAAAGGAAATCAGTATGTTGAAGAGATGTCTGAGCCCCATTATTCACTGCAGCACTGTTTACAATAGCTAAGATTTAGAATCAACTTAAATGTCTATCAGTGGGTGAATGGATAAAGGAAGGGTGTGCATGTGTGTGACCCTAGCTGTCCATTAAAAAGAACGAAATTCTGTATTTGAGACAACATAGATGAGCCTGGAGGACATTATGCTAAGTGAACTAACCTAAGCACAGAAAGAGAGAAGTTGCAAGTTCTCACTCCTATGTGGAAACTAAAAAAGCTGACCTCAAAGCAGCAGAGAGTAGACTAGTGATTGCTAGAGGCTGAGAAAGGGAAGGGGAAGAAGAGTAGAGAGACATTGGTTAATGGATACAAAACTGCAGTCAGAGGGCCGGCCCTGAAGCCTAGTGGTTAGGAGAGCTAGACCACATGACTACTGCAGTTTGAAGCCTGGTCGTCACCATTTGAAAAACAGACTGGCATAGGTGCATGCATACCCCAACCCCAACAGGATGAAGAAATGGAGAAGTGATTGTGGCATGACCACGCCCTATCAGAGGGTACACTTTCCCTCTTTCTGCTTTAATCCCTTCTCCTTCATCTTTCTCTCTCTGTTTCTCTGTCTCTGGCAAGTATATACGTATTCTCTAGCAAGAAGAAATAGACAAGAGAAATAAGTCCTAATGCTCTATAGGACAGTAGGGTAACTATAGCTAGCAATAATTTATTGTATATTTTAGAATAGCTAATTTAGAGGATTTTTTTTAATTGTTGTTCTATTTTTTGTTAGAGGGCTCATGCACTTGCCAGAGACAGAGTGAGAGAAGAAGGGGAGAAAGCATCCTCCATGGGGATTGGTCATGCTTTATCCCTTCTCCTCCACGTCTCTCTCTCCTTTTAAGATTTTGGGTACATGCACAGACACGCCCAGCATGTTTCTCAAGCCACCAGGTCCAGGACTTGAACCACACAATTGGTCATGTGCAACCTGCTACTTTAATCACCAGGCTGTGGAGCTGGCCCTTAGAGTATTTTACTGTTCCTGACACAAAATAATGATACACTTTTTTAAAGAATTTTATTTATTTATTTCTATTCATTCATTTCATTTTAATTTGATGAAAGAGTGAAAGAGAAAGCAAGCCACCAGGTCCAGGACTAAAGCTGTGCTCAGCCATGTGGGAATGTCCAGCACCTTAACCACCACACCACCTGCCGGCCCAGAAATTATACACCACCAGCTGGTTCCTCCTTTTTTTTTTTTTTTAATTATGTCATTTAACTTTATTTATTTTAATTTGACCTGAGAGGAAGAGGGAGAGAGAGAAAGTGAGAAAGAAAGCCTCCAGGTCCAGGACTCGAACCATGGTCGACCATGTGGGAGTCCAGCACCCTTAACCACCACACCACCTGCCGGCCCAGAAATTATACATTTTCGAGATGATGGGTATGCTCATTGTCCTTATTTAATCATTACATATTGTGTTCATGTACTGAAGAAAAACCACACTGTACCCCATAAATATGCACAAATCACACATGTCAACTACAAAAAGAAAACAGAGGTGCTAGACAGTGGCACGGTGGTAACATAATGCTTTGTTAGGCTGGCCCATTGAGAGGTTCTGGGTTCATGTTGGAGACTTCTCTAAACACACACAGGCATGTGTGTGCCCATAATGCAATGCTGTCTGAAGCTAGGTGTGGATAATGGCAGGAAGACCCCATTAGGGGTGTTTCTCTCTGTCACTCTTGCTCCTATGAACCCTCAGGCAGAACTCAGCTCATAAATGTTTTTTGCTTAGATTACACAGTTCTTTCATTTTTTAAAAAAAAAACCTAGTGTTTAAAAAATGTATATTGAGCTGGCCCTATGGCCCCGTGGTTAAAGGAGCCAGATGCCCCATGGCTTACTACATAGTTTGAATCATGGCCCTGGTGGCTTGAAAAACACATCAGGCACATGTGCATGTATGCTCAAATCCAGATGGGACAGAGAAATGGAGGAGAGGGGATTGTGCCATGCCCACGCCCCATGGAGGATGCTTTTTCTTTCTTCTTCTTCCTCTCTCTTTTTCTTTCTGGTGAGCACATTCCCTTTGGCAAATTAAACAAACAACAGACAAACAAACAGAAGTATATGTTGCATAAAGTTCTAAATAGTCTAGCATCCTTGACAAACCAAAAAATATAGTGACAGCGTGCCCATATTCCTATATGACGCCAGTTGGCTAGAACTCTGTAGGTACTGCCTTCTTCAGAGTATCTGACCTTGGTTTTGCTACAGTCTCCACCACTCCCTATTACTCCCCTTATGGCTCTGCATCACGTGTCATCCACACTGAACAGTGCCAGTGTTTCTTACTCCTGACTGCCTCACAGTTTGACTTAGCAGCCTGGCTTTGGGCACCTAATTTTTTTATTTCTTAACTAGCCAGAGCCCTTTAGTTAATGGGTAAAAACAGCTCCGAAAGGGGATATGACCTGGTGAGCATTCGAATGAACCAGACCAGAATCCCAGGATCTCTATGCTCCAAGGACGTCAATGTGTGTCCTTGCAGCAGTGTCTAGAAGGTCTTTTCCTCTGAGGTCCTCAAAAGGAAACGGAGGCCTAGGAAGCCATGAAGACTTCCTTCTTTCCTCCCATTAGGCAAACCAGTGGCCTCGAGACACCAAATTGAAGAGGAAAAGGAGGGCCTGATTGTTGTGTGTGTGCATACACACACACACACAGATGTGTTTGTGTGACAGAGAGGGTGTTTATGTCCAGTCATGAGATCTGGACATAAATGCCCAAGAGGGAGTCAGCAGTGGCTAAGGCTCTGCGCTCCCACATGGTGATGCAGTTCAAGTCCTGGACCCAGAGGCTTGAAATTCACGCCAGGCACAGGTGCATGCATGCCCAGAATCCCAAGAGGAGAAGGAAAGAGAAGGGACTGTAGCATGGCCAGCCCGTGGGTTGATTTCTCATTTTCTGTCTCTCTCTAGCTCTCTGGAGAGCACATGCGGCTAAAGCAAAAACCTCTCTTCATAAATAAATAAATACATAAATGCCCAAGGGGCCGGACGTGCATAAAATCAGAGCTAACTTGGGAGGCACAGAACACGGAGTGCCTGGAAGAGGGTCAGAGGTGATGCCAGACGTAGGGCAGGCTGGGAGGGGAACAAAGGCCCATCCTGTGGGTGACCAGACCCTTCCGCCAGAGCTGGCCACTTCTGCCTTTGGAAAGTGTTTCACAACACCCCGTGAATGTGTGAATGTGTGGAATGGTGATGTAAGAGACGGGGAGTCCAGTTGAGGATGGGTAAGAGGGTGTGGGCTCACGCATTCACTTGCACCAGCACCCAGAGTTTGTACAGACTGAGGAGCTGCCCCTCAGGTCACTCGTGCTCGGAAAGTTCCTGAAGGCTGCATCTTCATGGCAGGTGAGTAGCGGTCTCCAGAGACAGAGCCTGATTGGGGGTGGGCACGGCACAGCAGAGGAGGAGACCGAGTCTGGGGAAAACTTGAAAAGGCAAAGGGAGTCCTTGGTTCCCCATGGGAGTCCTGGTCTAGACTATAGTTTTGGACACCAGACACACTGGGGCTGGGTTCTTTGCAACTTTAAGGGTCCAGCTTTCCCAGCCCGATCTCCATGGGTCGGGGGCCCTCAGTTGCTGCAGGAGGCAGGGGTGAGGCTGAGGGGATACCGTAGGCTCAGCTTACCATCCTTAGAGCTCAGCGTCTCTCTGCAACAGGAGACCCGGATGTAGGGACTTCCGTGCTCACACGGGAGGAAAGTCATCCAGGGCCCCACTGCTCACACATCTTCTGGAATGTTGGGTGAGGGATGGAGGACATGGACCCAAAATGGTGGCCAGGGACCTGAATTTTTTCACTTTGCCAGGAAAAGGTGGGGCAGGGAGCCGGTGGCTTTACCCTGGGCCACCAAAAAGAGGCAGGACATTCACCAGGTCCCATAGGGCTCTTTATAGGAGACAAGAGCCCCCAAAGGCTGAGCAGACCCAGCTATGGCTCCATCTCCAGCCCACCGAACCCAGGGTCACAGCAAGAGACTGTCCGGGAGACCTACTTGAGTGAGAAGATCCCCATCCCAGAGGCAGAACCGGTGAGCATGCTAGAAACTTCCTGGGGTGTTCAGGATTGATGGAACCCTACAGAATCTCACAAGTTGGGAGAAGGGGTGTCCTTGTGACCAAGGCAAGTCCCTTTCAGCTCCTAGTAGCAGTGACAGCAGTGGCAACTGCCTCATTGCTCCATCTGTCCCCAGGGTAGCTGAGATGCTCATTATTTGTCAAAGAACTATCAAATGGCTTTTTTTTTGTTTTAATTGCCAGAGGATGCGTGTGCTCGTGAGTAAGAGACAGAGAAAGGGAAAAAGCACCCCTGGCTGGGTGCGGTCACACTGCAACCCCTTCACCCCCATTCTCCATCCTGTTGAGACTTGAGCTATGCACATGCACATACACGTGCCCAGCATGTTTCTCAAGGCTCTGAGGCTGAGGTCTGACTCACAGCCGTATGGGACCGACTCCCTTAACCACTAGGCTATGGGGCCAGCTCGGTCAAATGGCCTTCTGCTTGAATGTCAGCTTTACCATGAAGGGAAAGGGGCCTGGGGCGAATCAGAATCGCAGCCTCAAGGATTTGCTCTAGTATTAAGGGAAAGGACTCAGACAAGGGCAGTGGGAGGACTTGAGGGGGCTGCAGGTTGACATCTAAGACGCTGTCACCACCCTGCCCTTCCAGAACTTTTACCACATTCTAGGCTGAAAGGCCATGCCCTAAAAGGGGTGGGAGACGTCTAGACCCCAGAGAGGAAGCCTGCGGTCTGAGGAGCTGGTGAAGAAGAAGTTGGACCAGGAAGGCTTGGTCCCAGGACCCCCTTCTGGGGGCTTTGAGGACCCGCAGAGCTAGCGCTGAGAGGCAGGCAGAGCAGGCACAGGCTGACGGCTGACAGGAACGTGACAGATCCAAAAAGCAGATCCTCTGTGACTCAGCGAATCCTGCTGGTTCCTCCACCGCAGGCCCTTCCCAGCACCCAGCCCCCGGGGTGGGAAACAGAGGGCAAGGCTGACCAGCCAGTGCCGATGAGCTGGCTAGGGCTCATCGGGGGCTGGCCAAGGCCAACTGCTACCAGCCCATACCCAGGACCCCTCATCCTGCTCCTCCGATGCCAGGGCAGGTTCAGCCTGCGGAAGCTGTGGGCCTTCACCGGGCCCGGCTTCCTCATGAGCATCGCGTTCCTGGACCCAGGCAACATCGAGTCGGATCTTCAGGCTGGCGCTGCCGCTGGATTCAAAGTGACTGAACTGAGGCCTGAGTGGGGGCCCTGTGGGCAGGGAGGTGACCGGGCTAAGTGGGTGGAGACCCCGGCTTGTTATGTTTTCTGGGGTGGGCTCAGGGACGGCATGCCTCCGAGTAGGCATTAAGTATACAAAGGGCAGAAAAGGGTCCCCAGAGCAGCCCAGCCAGAGCATGGGGTGTGTGTGGTGGGGTGAGGGGGCTTGGTCTTCTCACTCATTTCTGCCACCTTTCCCCAAAGAACATCCTTGGTTGGAGGGTCCCACCAGCCTGGGGGCTCTCTGAGCCACGCCTCAGCTGAAGGCCTCTCCCTGCCTTCTCCAGCTGCTCTGGGTGCTGCTCTGGGCCACAGTGATGGGCTTGCTCTGCCAGCGACTGGCTGCCCGGCTAGGCGTGGTGACAGGCAAGGACTTGGGCGAGATCTGCCATCTCTACTACCCTAAGGTGAGCTTGGGGAGCCTGGGCAGGAAGCACCCACATGTTCAAATCCCAAACAGCCATTCACAGCTCCTGTGATCAAGTAACTCCATCATCTCACTCGGGCCATTTGATAGATAACAAGATTAAGGCTCAGGCCAGCAGGTGACATGGAAGTTAAGGGGGCTAGATCCCACATGGCTTGATCTGCAGTTCGAGTCCCAGATCTGGTGGCTTGAAAATCCCTAGTGCGTCTACATGCATGCCAAAAATCCTGAGAGGAGGATCTCTCTCTGGTGAGTGCATGTACTACCCTATAACAAAAACTAAAAAACAAACAAACAAACAAACAAACAAACAAAAAAACTATCAGACAGCTGCTTACTCCTCCCGCGGGGCCGCATCGGCCCAGGAGCCGTCATTTCCTGCTGCCCCCCAGCATCGCCATTTCGCCATTGCTGCTGAAATCACCACAGTGCCTAGTGTCCTTGCTGTCCCCACTGCCGGAGACAGCACTAGAGGCTGGGCAATGGGCATTCCCTACAAAGCCTAACTGGAAGCCAGCGGGCGATGCTTCTGGAAGATCAGCAGCAAATGCATCTATATAACAAAAACTTAAAAAAAAAAAACTAAACTCAAATTGACAGCACACAGTCTGAAGGGGACATTAGCGGTGCATAGCTTGTTTTTTTTTTTTTTTCCCCTTTGTAGAGCTTTTTTTTTGTTTCTGGAATTTTTGTTGTTGTTGTTTTGCTATAGGGTGCGTGTGCTCAACAGAGAGAGATAAATAAGAAATCCCCCCCCCCCTGCGACAGCACACAGTCTGAAGGGGACATTAGCGGTGCATAGCTTGTTTTTTTTTTTTTTTCCCCTTTGTAGAGCTTTTTTTTTGTTTCTGGAATTTTTGTTGTTGTTGTTTTGCTATAGGGTGCGTGTGCTCAACAGAGAGAGATAAATAAGAAATCCCCCCCCCCCATGCCACACTGCAATCCCTTCTCCTCTTGGGCTGGCACCCAGGTTTAGCTTTCTGATCTCTGAGTAACACCTCCTGGGCTAGCGTCTCAACCCTTCCAACACCTTCACGACTAATCCCTTGCACGGGACACCTGTGAAACGCGTCCAGCAGTGTAATTTCGGATTTCCTGACCGGACACTGACAGCAGCCCGAATGCAGTTAGCAGGCTCCAACCCAGCGGCACGGTGCAGAGAAAGGGGTGTGCCGAGCTGAGACCAGAAACAAGGAGCTGCCCACCTTACTGAGGGGCCGTCTCCTCCGCAGGTGCCCCGCACGCTCCTCTGGCTGACCATCGAGCTAGCCATCGTGGGCTCGGACATGCAGGAGGTCATCGGCACGGCTATCGCATTCAATCTGCTCTCAGCTGGGCGGTACCGTCCCCTTGTGCCCCAATTCTTGAGTCCAGGGTCAGGAACAGCTACTGCTTCTTCCAGGCCTCCTACCTCTCCGAGTTCATTTTATCCTGCTGTCTGTCCCCTCTGATATAAGCTGCTGCCCCATTTCCCCAACACGTGAAGTGACTGGCCTGTAGTCACATAGATGTGAGTCATGCAGACCCAGGACTGCTGCCTCAGCCCCCCACCCTTCCTGGCCCCCAGAACCCTTCCTAGAGTGTTCCATGCTATTCTTCACCTTCAGCACAATCCCATTCCCCTCTCCCAATCTGTCTGGGGCTGCCTGGGTTCCGGTCCTAGCAGGCCACATTCTAGGAGTTCAGCTCTCTGGGTCAGGCTGAGTTGACCTAGGCCACTCTGGTTTCAGAATCCCACTCTGGGGTGGCGTCCTCATCACCATTGTGGACACCTTTTTCTTCCTCTTTCTGGATAACTATGGTGAGTGTGCAACTCATAGCAGACCGGGGTTGGGGGTGGGGGGACTGGAGCTGAGTCCCTGACCTCACCTCTATTGGAGAAGGGCTCTCACCTCAGGACCACCTGAAGTCGTCTGAGCTCCCTCGCCCTAGTGTGTGGCCCTGAGCGAGATCGGCAGACTTGCTTCATCATCTGTAACCAGGCGGTGGGCTGTTTGGGAGCTGGACAGGGGGGTGGTGCGTTTATGCACTTGGCGCAGCGCCTGGAACAGAGTGCTCAGAACGCGAGCCATCACGTTACAGGGTCTTTCGGTTTGTTTCTTCTTTCTGTCCCTCTGTCCTGCCCCTAGGGTTGCGCAAGCTGGAAGCCTTCTTTGGATTCCTCATTACCATTATGGCCGTGACCTTTGGCTACGAGGTAGGAAGCCAGCGCTGTAGCCCCCTGCCCCTCCCAGATCACCCCTCTGCTTTTCCCCTGCAGAGCCCGAGTGGCGGGGTTAGTGGCCCGGGGCGGTGTTCCTTGTCTGCGGATCCCCGAGGAGAGTCAGCCTTGGCGACTCCTCCCTACAGTACGTGGTGGCACGCCCGGCGCAGGGAGCGCTCCTTCGAGGCCTGTTCCTGCCCTCGTGCCCCGGCTGCGGCCAGCCAGAACTGCTGCAGGCTGTGGGCATTGTTGGAGCCATCATCATGCCCCACAACATCTACCTGCACTCGGCCCTGGTCAAGGTGAGCAGCAGGAGGGCAGGGCGACCCGTCCCGCCCTTACGGTCATGCTGGCCCCGCCTCCCAGCCCGCGGTCCGCCCCTCGGGCCCTTCAGGATTTTAGGTGGGAAGTGAATCATTCTGTATTTATTCGATCTGTAATTATTGAGCGTGTCCTGGGTGCTAGCTGAGAGCTGGGAGTCAACGATGAAAAGATCTCCAAGGCGCCTGTCCTAGACAGGGGAGGGGAGCTGATAAACAAGTCATCAAAAAATGGAAAGAATGATAGTTGTGAAAGGTACTCTACAGGGGTCTGCAGGTGGCTTGATGGTTAGAGCGCTGGACTCCCACATGGTTAAGTAGGGTTCAAGTCCCAAACCTAGAGGCTTGTTTCTCATTTTCCCTCTCTCTCTGTCTCTGGTCAAATTAATAATAATAATAATAATAATAATAGGACCAACCGGTGGCTTAATGGTTATGTCGCTGGACTACTACATAGTCTAGGACCTGGTGGCTTAAAACTCAAGCTGGGGGGCAGGCAGGTGGTGTGGTAGTTGAGGGCGCTGGACTCCCACCAAAACTCCCATTCAAATCCTAGAACTGGCGGCTTGCTTTCTCACTCTCTCTCTTGCTCTGTCCCTCTCTAGTCAAATTAAAATCAATAAATAAAGTTCAATACATCAAATAAAATTAAATAATAATTAAAAGAAAAAGAAAGGTACTCTGCAGAAAATAAAACAGAGAGTGTGATAGAGAGTGAAGGCTGGGGATGGAGATCTGGGAGAAGATATTATGAGCAGTGGTACAGCAAGTGCAAAGGCCCTGGGGCAGAAATAAACCGGCCAAGTTTGAGGCAGAGCTGGGCAGATGAAGAGCAGTCTGTCGGGGGCTGAGGGAGACAGGATCCGCTGAGAACAGTCTCCCTTCTCACAGCTGGTAATCATGGATCAGGGACAGAGGCGTAGGAAGGAGGTTGGCTGACCAGGGCCTGTTCCAGACTACAACATAGGGGGCTTTAAAGTTTTTATTCATCGGGACCAGCAGTTAGCATAATGGCTGTGTCACTGGACTCCCATGTAGTCAACCGTGGTTCGAATACCAGACCCAGTGGCTTAAACTCACACCAGGCACATGTGGGTGCATGCCCAAGATCCCAAGAGGAGAATAGAGGAGAAGGGATTGCAGCGTGGCCATACCCTCTGGGGGGGTGATTTCTCGCTTTCTGTCTTTCTGGTGAGCGCATGCACCCTATAGCAAAAACCTCTCCAAAAAAAAGTTTTTATTTATTTATTTGTTCTATGAGAGAGACAGCACTCCCAGTAAGGTCTTGATGGTGTAACCTGTTCCGAGCCTCAGCCCAGTTGGCCCCAGATCATGGGCATGCACGTTCCCAGTGTACTCAGGGGGTCTTCAGAGCCAAACCCAGAACCTTCCCGTGTGGGTCATCCTCCCAGAGTGTCCCATTTCACCACTATGCCATCATCCATCCCCGACAAAGGGGACTTTAGAAAGAACTGGGGTTTGGACCAGCAGTTGGCATAATGGTTACGTTGCTGGACTCCCATGTAGTCAGTCAACTGCAGTTCAAGTCCTGGACCCGGTGGCTTAAACTCACGTCGGGTGCATGTTCGTGCGTGACCAAGATCCTGAGAGGAGAATAGAGAAGGAATTGTGGCGTGGCCATCCCCCCGAAGGGTGATCTCTTGCTTTCTGTCTCTCTGGAGAGTGCATGCGCCCTCTAACAAAAACCTCTCCCAACAAATAAATAAATAAATAAATATAATAATTATATAAAAGCAGGAGGTGCTAGCAGGTGGTGTGGTGGTTAAGGGCGCTGGACTCCCATATGGCCAACCATGGTTCTTATCCTGGACCTGGCAGCTTGCTTTCTCACTCTCTCTCTCTCACTTTGTCCCTTTCTGGTCAAATTTAAATAAATAAATAAATAGAATTAAATAAAATAATTATAAAAGGGGTGGGCAGCAGGTGACATGGTGATTAAAGTATTGGACTCCCACATGGCTGACTGTGGTTCAAGTGTCAGACCTGGTAGCTTGCTTTCTCACTTTCTCTCTCTCTCTTTCTTTGTGTGTGTCTGGTGAGTGCATGTGCCTTATAGAAAACTTTTAAAATAATAATAAATAGAATTAAAGAAATAATTCTTTTTCTTTTTTTTTGAGAGTTTTTTTGCTCTAGGGAGCATGCGCTCACCAGAAAGACAGAGAGAAACAGAGAGACAGAAAGCAAGAAATCACCCCCCCAGGGAGGATGGCCACGCCGCAATCCCTTCTCCTCCATTCTCCTCTTGGGATCTTGGGCACGTACGCACACGTGCACTCATGTTTAAGCCACAAGGTCTGGGACTCAGACCACAGTCGACTACATGGGAGTCCAGCAATGTAACCATTACACCATCTACTGGTCCCCACTATAACATTACTTTTAATGGCTAAAGATTAGAAACAACCTAAATGTCCTCAATAGAGGACTGATTAGGGCTGGCCCTATGGTCTGGTGATTAAAGGAGCTGTTTCACACATGGCAGACTGAGTATTTTGGGTCCAAGCCCTAATGGCTTGAAGGACAAGTTAGATCCATGTGCATGTGTGCCTCAAAACCTGATTGATTGGAGAAATAAAGAAGAGAGCCGGAGTGGCGGGGTTAGTGGCCCGGGGCGGTGTTCCTTGTCTGCGGATCCCCGAGGAGAGTCAGCCTTGGCGACTCCTCCCTACAGTACGTGGTGGCACGCCCGGCGCAGGGAGCGCTCCTTCGAGGCCTGTTCCTGCCCTCGTGCCCCGGCTGCGGCCAGCCAGAACTGCTGCAGGCTGTGGGCATTGTTGGAGCCATCATCATGCCCCACAACATCTACCTGCACTCGGCCCTGGTCAAGGTGAGCAGCAGGAGGGCAGGGCGACCCGTCCCGCCCTTACGGTCATGCTGGCCCCGCCTCCCAGCCCGCGGTCCGCCCCTCGGGCCCTTCAGGATTTTAGGTGGGAAGTGAATCATTCTGTATTTATTCGATCTGTAATTATTGAGCGTGTCCTGGGTGCTAGCTGAGAGCTGGGAGTCAACGATGAAAAGATCTCCAAGGCGCCTGTCCTAGACAGGGGAGGGGAGCTGATAAACAAGTCATCAAAAAATGGAAAGAATGATAGTTGTGAAAGGTACTCTACAGGGGTCTGCAGGTGGCTTGATGGTTAGAGCGCTGGACTCCCACATGGTTAAGTAGGGTTCAAGTCCCAAACCTAGAGGCTTGTTTCTCATTTTCCCTCTCTCTCTGTCTCTGGTCAAATTAATAATAATAATAATAATAATAATAGGACCAACCGGTGGCTTAATGGTTATGTCGCTGGACTACTACATAGTCTAGGACCTGGTGGCTTAAAACTCAAGCTGGGGGGCAGGCAGGTGGTGTGGTAGTTGAGGGCGCTGGACTCCCACCAAAACTCCCATTCAAATCCTAGAACTGGCGGCTTGCTTTCTCACTCTCTCTCTTGCTCTGTCCCTCTCTAGTCAAATTAAAATCAATAAATAAAGTTCAATACATCAAATAAAATTAAATAATAATTAAAAGAAAAAGAAAGGTACTCTGCAGAAAATAAAACAGAGAGTGTGATAGAGAGTGAAGGCTGGGGATGGAGATCTGGGAGAAGCTATTATGAGCAGTGGTACAGCAAGTGCAAAGGCCCTGGGGCAGAAATAAACCGGCCAAGTTTGAGGCAGAGCTGGGCAGATGAAGAGCAGTCTGTCGGGGGCTGAGGGAGACAGGATCCGCTGAGAACAGTCTCCCTTCTCACAGCTGGTAATCATGGATCAGGGACAGAGGCGTAGGAAGGAGGTTGGCTGACCAGGGCCTGTTCCAGACTACAACATAGGGGGCTTTAAAGTTTTTATTCATCGGGACCAGCAGTTAGCATAATGGCTGTGTCACTGGACTCCCATGTAGTCAACCGTGGTTCGAATACCAGACCCAGTGGCTTAAACTCACACCAGGCACATGTGGGTGCATGCCCAAGATCCCAAGAGGAGAATAGAGGAGAAGGGATTGCAGCGTGGCCATACCCTCTGGGGGGGTGATTTCTCGCTTTCTGTCTTTCTGGTGAGCGCATGCACCCTATAGCAAAAACCTCTCCAAAAAAAAGTTTTTATTTATTTATTTGTTCTATGAGAGAGACAGCACTCCCAGTAAGGTCTTGATGGTGTAACCTGTTCCGAGCCTCAGCCCAGTTGGCCCCAGATCATGGGCATGCACGTTCCCAGTGTACTCAGGGGGTCTTCAGAGCCAAACCCAGAACCTTCCCGTGTGGGTCATCCTCCCAGAGTGTCCCATTTCACCACTATGCCATCATCCATCCCCGACAAAGGGGACTTTAGAAAGAACTGGGGTTTGGACCAGCAGTTGGCATAATGGTTACGTTGCTGGACTCCCATGTAGTCAGTCAACTGCAGTTCAAGTCCTGGACCCGGTGGCTTAAACTCACGTCGGGTGCATGTTCGTGCGTGACCAAGATCCTGAGAGGAGAATAGAGAAGGAATGGTGGCGTGGCCATCCCCCCGAAGGGTGATCTCTTGCTTTCTGTCTCTCTGGAGAGTGCATGCGCCCTCTAACAAAAACCTCTCCCAACAAATAAATAAATAAATAAATATAATAATTATATAAAAGCAGGAGGTGCTAGCAGGTGGTGTGGTGGTTAAGGGCGCTGGACTCCCATATGGCCAACCATGGTTCTTATCCTGGACCTGGCAGCTTGCTTTCTCACTCTCTCTCTCTCACTTTGTCCCTTTCTGGTCAAATTTAAATAAATAAATAAATAGAATTAAATAAAATAATTATAAAAGGGGTGGGCAGCAGGTGACATGGTGATTAAAGTATTGGACTCCCACATGGCTGACTGTGGTTCAAGTGTCAGACCTGGTAGCTTGCTTTCTCACTTTCTCTCTCTCTCTTTCTTTGTGTGTGTCTGGTGAGTGCATGTGCCTTATAGAAAACTTTTAAAATAATAATAAATAGAATTAAAGAAATAATTCTTTTTCTTTTTTTTTGAGAGTTTTTTTGCTCTAGGGAGCATGCGCTCACCAGAAAGACAGAGAGAAACAGAGAGACAGAAAGCAAGAAATCACCCCCCCAGGGAGGATGGCCACGCCGCAATCCCTTCTCCTCCATTCTCCTCTTGGGATCTTGGGCACGTACGCACACGTGCACTCATGTTTAAGCCACAAGGTCTGGGACTCGAACCATGGTTGACTATATGGGAGTCCAGCGACATAGCCACTATGCCAACTGCTGGTCCCGAATTAAATAAATAATTCTTTAAAAAAAGAGAAAGAACTGAGGTTTGGGAGGAACATAGGAAAAAGTGTGAGGGTGGGGAAATTGAGGTGGTTCTGAGGGACTTTGGCCCCTCCCTCCCCCTCTGACCTTCATAGTCTCGAGAGATAGACCGGACCCGGCCGGCAGACATCCAAGAAGCCAACATGTACTTCCTGATTGAGTCCACCATCGCCCTGTGTGTCTCCTTCATCATCAACCTCTTTGTCATGGCTGTCTTTGGGCAGGCCTTCTACCAGCAAACCAACCAGGCAGCGGTGAGACACTTCCCGTGCGTCCCCGCCATGTCCCATACGCACATGCCCTGGGAGCTTTGCGGGGCGCCAGGCCCCCGGGAATCTTCACTGTCAGTAGATGAGCAGATAAGCTGCCATTCATTCAGCTAGCAGTTACTGAGCGTGTGGTATGCCCAGGCAGTGACCCAGACCCTGGGATAGACCGGTCCGTGATGCTAAGACTCTGTTCTCCTGCCCCTTACATAGGGAGGGCGGAGCACAGACAAGAAACAAGTCTCATACACACCGAGGTACAGAGCATGACCAAAACTGAGAGCGAAATAGACAGGGTGGAGCCAGCCCCATAGCCTAGTGGTTAGAGGGGCCGGATCCCCACATGGCTGACTGCGGTTTGCACGTGACTGATGCCCTAGTGGGACGCATGTGCTTGTGTGTGATGGAGAATCGGAGAAGGGGTTGCAGTGTGCCCACACTCCACAAGGAGGTGCTTCCTCTCTCTCTCTCTGTCGCTCTCCGGTGAGCACACACACCCTCCGGCAATTAAAAAAAATAGAAATAGGACGTGAAGCATCACTGAGGGTATTATGAGTGGGCGTGGGGCAGGGGCTACATTAGCCCAGGGGGTCAGGAAAGGCCTCCTGGGAGGAGTGAGATCTTGCTGACTCTGACAGAGAAGAGGTACCTCCTTCCAGGCTCTCCAGGACGAAGTACCTATCTGTCCCCCTTTCTGAGTGGGCCTCTGTCGTGAGGCTATAATTACTGCTAGCCACTTGGGGGCTTACTGAATGCTGAACACTGTGGGAGGAGGGGTGGCCAGGCCTCCGGGACCTGGGCACTGTCACTGCCTTGCTATGTGACCTTGGGAAGTCATTCTTCTCTCTGGGTCTCACTCAGTTCTTTGGCACAAGGCGAGAAGTCTAAATTGGGATTGCAAACCCTTGTCTGCAAGACCAGGCCAGCTGCAGGGCCTGGGAAGTGGGCCGGGAGCACGGAAGAGGGGATGACGGCCACTGGTCACTGCTAGCTGACTGGCTCTCTAGAAATGCCAGCTCTAGTGAATCCAGAAACCTGAAGTTGGGTTCTCACGTGGTCTCAATTATAAATATTGAAAACAAAGTCGTGTAAGTTAAAAACAAACAAACAAACAAACAAACAAAACCGACATTATTAGCCGAACAAAATATATCGGGCCAGATTCTGTCTGCGGGTCCCTCGTTTTTGACCCCATGTCAAGGCCAGGCAGCCTAGTTTTCCAAGACTATTTCCAAGACTGAGCGCGTCCGTCTCATCTCCCTCCTACTCCCGGTGCCCGCAGTTCGACGTCTGTGCCAACAGCAGCCTTCAGGACTACGCCAAGATTTTCCCTATGAACAACGACACCGTGGCGGTGGACATTTACCAAGGAGTAAGCGCGCGGCTGGGCTTGGGGGAGGGCGTGACTCATCCAGGTTCTCGCCCCGCCCACTCCAGGGCGGTACCTGGGCCTAGGGGCGGGGCCACTGGCTGACCACACCCACCCCTCAGGGCGTGATCCTGGGCTGCCTGTTCGGCCCCGCAGCGCTGTATATCTGGGCAGTAGGTCTCCTGGCCGCCGGGCAGAGCTCCACGATGACCGGCACCTACGCGGGACAGTTCGTGATGGAGGTGGGGCGGGGCGCGGGCCGAGGACAACAGGCACACTGCTGGGGGCTTGGAAACAGGGCACGAAGGGCACCACCACAAGCTCCGCTTTACAGATGACAAAACTGAGGTTCAGAGAGGTGAGAAGACTTGCCAAAAGCTGCAGACCCAGGCCCTTCCCAGCACTGTTTAGTCTTCGAAAAGAGCTGTGGAAAGGGAGCCCCATCCCTTTTCCTCCACACCCATCGCCCCTCCATGAGCTAGGGACAGGGCTGCGCCCAACCCAGCAATGGAAAAACAGAGCATCCCCGGGGCACAGAGCGGCCCCAAGGACGACAGAGGCTCCCCTCTGGAATCCCAGGCCTGCCTCCACCCCCGCCCCACCAATGTGCGCACCCCTTATCCCAGGGCTTCCTTCGGCTGCGTTGGTCACGCTTTGCTCGCGTCCTGCTCACTCGCTCCTGCGCCATCCTGCCCACCGTGCTGGTGGCCGTTTTCCGGGACCTGAGGGACCTATCGGGTCTCAACGACCTGCTCAACGTGCTACAGAGCCTGCTGGTGAGACGGGGCATCACGCCCGCCCACTGTGGGGCTAATGACACAGCAAGCCTGTGTCTCTGGCCTACCTTGGGCCTGCCAGGCTATCCTAACACACCTCACCTATGAGGATCCCAGGTCCCCACAACCACAGGGGTGGGGAGCGTCGCCATTATTCCCATTTCACAGATGGGAAAACTGATGCACAAAGTTAAGCAACCAGTGGCAGACCTGGGATTCAGACTGACAACTTGGTGCCAGAGCCCCATAACCATGGAAGTCACAAGGATGGGGAATGGCTCAGCCTTGCCACATTCTGAGGGCAAAGCCCCTCACGCTCTGCCCCCTCCCAGCTTCCCTTTGCGGTGCTGCCCATCCTCACGTTCACCAGCATGCCCACCCTCATGCACGAGTTCGCCAATGGCCGGTGAGTACCCCCATGGCAAGCATTGTATTTGCATCCGATCCTTAAGACCACCCAGAGATGTGAACTGCCCTCACTGTGAAATCCAGATGAAGCAACTGAGGCTCAGAAAGGAACTTGGCCAGGGTCACACACCTAGTATGGGGGAGCTGGGACTGGAATTGGGGATGGGAGCTATTTGTGGAGCCTGAGACCCTGGACTGCACTCTTGCCAAATCTTGCCATGGTGGAGCCTCAGGGTCCAGGAGGCAGGAGGTGTGCAAGGGGTCTCCCTGCTCACAGGCTCGCTGGCCAGAGAAGTGGGCTTTATGGGGACCAGCAGGTGGCGTGGTGGTTAAGGGCACTAGACTTACATATAGCCAACCTTGTTTGGAGTCCCGGAACTGGCAGCTTGCTTTCTCACTTTCCCTCTCTCTCTCTGTCACTTTGTTCCTCACTGGTCAAATTAGAATAAACAAATAAATAATAATAAACAATTTAAGGGGCCAGCATGTGGCATGTTGGTTAAGTGTGCTGGACTCCCACATGGCTGACTATGGTTTGAGTCCTGGACCTGGCGGTTTGCTTTCTCACTTTCCTTTTCTCTCTTGTTCTGTCCCTCTCTGGTCAAATTAAAATAAATAAATGAATAAATAAATAAAGTTAAATATTTTGTTAATCCACAAAAACTATTTTTAAAGAATGGGTTTTGTGTATGCCCCGCCTCCCAACCAGCTCCAGGCTGGCTGTGGGAGCGCTGGAGCAGGAAACCCAGCTGTCCAGCCAGTCCTGAGCTTCCGTGTCCCCAGGCTGAGCAAGACCATCACTTCCTCCATTATGGCCCTGATCTGTGCCATCAACCTCTACTTCGTGGTCAGCTACCTGCCCAGCATCCCACACCCCGCCTACTTCATCCTCGTTGCCCTGCTGGCCGCTGCCTACCTGTGCCTCACTGCCTACCTGGTACTGTAGGGCCTGGGGTGCCTGGGGGTTGGGGGAGCAAGGACAGGTGTCAACAGAAGGGGAGGTATGAGTAAAGGAGAACGGGGCTTCCCAGAGGTCTTTGCTCCTCCCCACTCATACCACCCTTTCTCCTAGGTCTGGACCTGTTGCATCGCCCATGGAGCCACCTTTCTGGTCCACGGCTCCCATCGGCACTTCCTGTATGGGCTCTCCCAAGAGGAGCAGAACCCCGCGGTGTCTGTGCCCTCAGCCTGAGCCTGACTGGAGGTGGAATGAGTGGGGCTGACTGGCGACCATGGAGGGATGGAGGCAGCAAGATGGAGCTGGATAGTTTGGGAGGCCGGCCAACCTGTGCCCCCCCCCACCCCCCAGGGACTACACTAACATCGTCACGACATAAAGCACTTTATTTAACACAGTGCCTGGCCCTTGGGTCTTAAAAAAGTCATTCAAAAAACATTTATTGAGCCCCTATAGGAGTGCCCTGACTGGGGGAAGGGCAGGGCGGGACACAGGCTCCCAACTGACACTTAAAATAGAGCTAGACACGCTAAATAAATGCTAGTTCACTCCCTGTCCCAAACAGCACGAAATCTCTAAAAACTGAAGACTCCCCCCCACACGCACCCCTTCTCAAAAGTTAGGCTTACTGCTACTCTCCGCAGCCTTTCGGTTCCCCCTGCAACCCATTTTCCAGGGAGTAAAACAGAAGTGCAGTTCTCCCTCCTAGGCGCCAGGTCATAAGGAATCCCAGAGTCTGTGCCTCTGAGGCTCAATTCATTTGTCATCTCCCCAGGGGACCGGGCGGCTGAGACTCCCACGCCGAACAGTTAACACTCCCTGTGCGCTGACTCCCAGCTCCCTCTAGGGGTAGGGACGGTCCCGGGCTCAGGGACTCCAGTCCCGGATTCACCCCTCCCAGCCAAGCGGAACAACGCCGGGAGGCGGGAGTTTGGTTTTCGCGTCCTGGAGGCCCTAGTGTTCACTGGGGCAAGGAGGTGGGGGAGCTGTGTGGGCGGGGATCCCCCTCCGCTCCAAGAAGCGGCTGGGCACACTTTTCGCCCCATGCAGGCACTGCACTTTACAGACGCTCCCTAGGCTGTTTCCAGGCTCCCCTAAGTCCCTCCTCCAGCCTCCTCCGGTCCCTCGGACCCCAACCCTGGAGCCTCGGAGAGTATAGGTGTGGAAGGGCTGCAAGGCCCTTCTCGAGTTGAGCCTGGGGCAGGTGCTGTGTCTGGAAGTACCCCCGATTTCTCAGGAACCTTCTGGGCTAGCGTCCCGGCTCCGTGCTCAGGTTGGGGCGCTTGTTTATGAGAAGAATTTCCTCTTTCTTAAAAGGGCAACAATGCAAGTGGGGCCCTCAAGAAGAGAAGGAATGGGACAGGTTTAAGTAACGAGGCAGCTGCCGAGAGGGTACCTGGGCAAGAGAGCCTTCCACCCGCCTTCTCCGGAGCCCATGCAAGCTGAAGGAGAGGATGGGTGGGAGGCCGGGTGGTGAAAAAGGTGTCTCCCAGGTCCTTCTCCCCCCGACCCGGGAGAGCCCCCTTCACACCCCTCTGATCAATTCACTGGGCGTAAATTGGGTGTCATTGCGAAGCCGGTGCCGAGGGGAGGGAGACATAGGTGGGAATTCAAGATGTCAGATCATGCTCTGGTTGGGGGCGACAAGGACTAGTCACCACAAAGTAGGACAAGGTGCAGATGAGGACCAGGCAGAGGAGGCGACTCCTGCCCAGCATTTTGAGAGCTGCATAGGGAGGGGGAGGCGGAGGTGTGTTTGCGGGGGATGGGGAGGGGGCTGTCGGACTTGTGCCCAAGGGCGGAAACATGAAACCAGGGGAGTTTAGGTCTTGAGCAAGACCGGGGTCCCCAGAGCAGTGGGCCGGCGGGACTTGTGAACAGTTAAGTGTAGGACTTAGAACTGGGGGCACCATCCAGGCGCCAGCTGGTTCCTCGGGCCTGCGCGCGGGTCAGTGATGAGCCCAGGCCGAAGCCAGTCTTTTCCAGCAGAGAAGCCCTATGCGCGTTACCCTCGCCTGCACGGAGCGCTGGTGCCCCCAGCCCGCAGGCTCGGGTCTAACCTGAGGCGCAGGAGAGGCGAGTCTCCCCGCTAGGTGTTCTGCCAGGCTTTCCGGAATGGGAGCGGCCGGCACCTTGATACTCCAAGGAGCCAGCTGAGGGCGCCCAGCCTGCTGTCCTGCTCCACTCCACTCTCTTGGCTTGGCTTTTACTGGTCCATCTGGCAGGTGGAGAGGCAGAGGTGCCGGATGGGTAAATAACTTGCTCACTGTCACCCGGCAGGACCCTGCGGGGTCTCGGCTCCCCACCCCTACGCCAGTTTCTGCCTCACAGCCCTCACCGATTTGCTCCTTCTAGGGGTACAAATCGACGGAACATACAAATAAACTGGTGGCTAGAGCGACCCCCAGCTAGGTGCAGGTCAAGACACCCAAGGAACCCCCCCAAGCTACCAGCTTCCCGACTCTTGCCTGTAACCACTCTGCCACTCCGAACTGCCCTACCCTCCGGCGTGGTGAGAGAGAACTTAGGGGCTCCAGGCAGAAGGCACCACGGCTCAGCTGGAAGGTCTCGGGGAGAACAGCGCCTTGCTAGGGCTTGGAGGGGGCCACAGGGGTGCGTCTGGGTTGCGACCCCGGAGGAGCTCTACGAGCTCAGGGCGGCCTGATGGGAATGGCGGGTTGGAGTGACGGCAGCCCCGCCCTGCCCACGGCTGGGTCCCAGCGTGGGGCCTCTGACAGTCACGGTCCGAGGGAGAAGTCAGCTAGTCTCCCTACCCGAAGGGGCGAGGCCAGAAGTTCACTCCGTCCCCAACCACGCGTTTCCGTTTGGGGTCACAGCCGGCGATCCGAAGTTAAACCTGAGGCCCCGCCTCGGGGGCTGGGCCCAAGGGAAGACGCTGTATTGGGCGGCCGGAATCCGGCCTCCGCCCTGGCGGTGGGGACGTCGCTTCCCCGCTCCCGGCTCAGTTTCCTTGTCTGTTAAAATGGGGTAAGAAGAGGTGTCGTTCTGAACCGTGACTGTCAGGGGGCGCCGCAAGAGCGGCACTCTGGCAACACTTGGCGACTAACATGATAAAGTGCAACGATGGCGGCTCTAGGGAGCCCTAGGAACTAGGGCCGGGGGTCCAGCTGGGGATCAGTCCCTGTCGCCCCCACCCTGCCGCCAGTCCCGCCTCCGAGCACGCAGCTGGCGCGCGATCCGGCAGGCGCCGCACCGCCCCCCTCCTAGCCGGACGGGACAGGACGCGCCCGCCCCGCCCTGCCCCGCCGCGGAGGCCCGGGGGAAGGAAGTGCCGAGGCGTGTTTGTCAAGGCTTGGCGTTATTATTATTTTTCAAATTGTGAACACAAAATAGTAACCAGGAGTGGAACTTCAAAAACGGAGAAAAATAACCTGCAGACCCTGCGATGTGCAGGTCATGGCAGTTTTCGCGCTTGAAAACGCAGACCCCATGGGGCCGGCAGGTGGAGTGGTGGTTAAGGGCGTTGGACTCCCACATGGCTAACCATGGTCGAATCCCGGACCTGGTGGCTTTGCTTGCTTCCTCACTTTACCTCTCTCTTTCTCATTCAGTCACTCTCTGGTCAAATTAAAATAAATAAGTATATAAAGTTCAATAAAATAATTTTTAAAACACGGACCCCGCGCTGCCTGGGTGTCTCTGCAGTCCTGGTGGAATCCGTGTTTGAAGTTTTCTGAACAGTTGATGTCTGACACACACCCTCGTCCACGGTGACACTTTTTGGGCCCACTGTGCTGCCACGGTGCTGGGCAAGTGGAACAGAGACGAGTCCAGTAGTACCAACTCCTCCGTAACCAGAGTGGCCAACAGGCGGGGTCTAGGAAGGCCTCTAGAGAAGGTGTCATTTCTTCAGGTTGGTGGGGTTTGGCTCCGCCAAGTGGAATAAAACCCCTTTCAAGCTGAGGGAACAGAGTGTACGGAAACTCAGAGAGGCACTCAGCTCCTCCCAGCGAGAAGGCGCGGTGGTCTGGGAACCTGGCTTGGGGCGTCCAGAGTGCAGGAAGTGCAGTCCCCAGCCAGGAGCATCCTGGGTCAGGGAGTTAAGGTTTTCATGCCCTGCGGATCGCGGTCACCTCGCCCTCAGACTGCGGTGGGTGGACAGTTACAAGCGGGTCAAAAACATAATTGTGTATTTGCACAGCTGTTTGAAACCAGTTCGTTCACGAATTCCCTCTAGGTGGCCCCTGCGACCATTAGGTAGGAGAGAAGATCCACTTTATAGAAGAGAGCGTCGGCTCCATTTCCCAAAGGAGAAAACCCAGGCGCTGCTAGTCCCTGGCCCCTGGAATGCGCAGAGGTGGAGCCGCGCCGCCTTCGGGCACTCCCGGGCGAGGGTGCTCCGGGCGGGCGGGACAGGCCCTGGCCCCCGCGGCACTCCGCGGCCTGGAACCGTGGCCCAGCTACGCAGCCGCAAAGACTCAGTCCAGCCAGAGGGCGGCAGGAAGGGAGGCGACGCCCCCTGGAGCGCGGCAGGGACCCCGCCCGGGCCGCCTCCCCGCC